TGGTAGTGGTAGTGGTAGTGGTGTAACATTGAACATCGACTGAAACGGAGAAAGGTCTCTCCTTGGCCATCACTTTCTCCAGGAGCGTCTCACCGGAGAGAAGTCGGACAATCACCTTCAACGACCGGAACGGTGTTGACAGACTTGGCATTGATTCAAGATGCGTACCTTATGTCGGGATTTCCGGTGAAGCTGAAGACATCCCTCCTCTCTCAAGAATCTTGGAGGGCCTCCACAAGATCAGGGTCTCGTAGCATGGACGAGGTGGACGGATTTGGACAGCCTGAACAAGGGTTCAGGGTTGCTTCGGCAGGGGTGGAGTGGACATAGCTGCAAGGCCGACACGATGGGAGCCAGTGCACATCCTCATACGAAAGAATGCCGTGGGCAAGCCACAAAGACAGGATAGAGGGCTGGGCCAGTCACAGCTCGAAGAGTTCAAACACGCCACGAAGCCGAGCCGGGCACGAAGAGCATTCAAAACAAAGAGCAACGTCGCTGAAACGTGTCCAAAAATGAACAAAAATCAAAAGCCAAAGCCCCCTCGACCCTGTACGAGAGCTGCCAGGCAGCTCCAGTCTTCCGGAGCTTGCATGCTATGCCACAAAGCCTGGCCAAGGGTGCCACCAACCTTTGCCAGGGGATTGAAAGGCGACCGACAGCGAAGCCGAAGAAAAACTTGTCCAGAAACACGACAAGAAAAAAAAGCTAATTCGACAAACCCTATCCCCAAAAATCATAAACCCTTAAATTAAGCCCTAACCGAACCTCCCTTTAAACGGCTCCCGAAAAAAAAAACCTTGGGCTCCGAGATGCGCTTCTTAGGCGCTCGGAGAGCCAGGAGCGATCCCCACCAGAGATGAAACAGCCCAGAGTGATCACATCGTCCTCCTCTCTCTGTAAGGGTTTAGGGTTTAAGGTTTAGGTCACTATGAGGGAGACTGAGGGCTACTCAGCAGGCATCTAGCTCATCGTCCTTCTATAGGGTTTATGTTAGAGTCGCTACAAGGGTTGCCATAAAGGTTACGAGAAAAAGCTTCTCGGATTCAGGCGTTTGGCGTTTAGCTTACGATAGGGCCTCAGTTTAGGGTTGCTATACGGTTTATCATCAGGCTTACTTTCCGGGTTGCGGTTTATCATCAGGCTTACTTTCCGGGTTGCTACAAGGATTCAGGGCAACTAATCAGGGGCTTATATGGGTTAAAGAAAGAAAGGCAGTATTGTAAGGGGACTTTTGAGCGTACAACTTCTTTTGTCTCGATAGTATTCAGAGCATTTCAGAGCTACCCCCCTCCCCCCCCCACCCCCCGGCCTTTTCTGGGGATAAAGCAAAATCACCGAAAGAACCGAGAACCCTGAAACTCAAGTGCACCCAAACTTTTCATAACCCTGCGAAGCCCGAACCGCTACTGCAGACCCCTGATTTATACCACTGCCTTTCTTGAAAGGCTGTGGTTTTGGGATGCCTCTGTTTTAGTCCCCCTCTAGGTGGTGTTTTCTCCTAGCCATCAATGCAAGGATCTGATTTTCTCTACGTCTCGGGAGGCTCGATCCCGAAGCCCATGATGTTCTCTAAACTCGGGTCCCTGTTAGGGGGTTCCTTAAAGAGATCTACAAAGGTCTCTTTAAAGGGATGTAGAAGGGTTCCCTACAGGGATCTATAACCCTAAGGCTCAAAATAGCCCAAAAGCCATATAGTAATTGTGGTCTTTAAGCCCAAAAGCCGTAACATTGTGAGTCCTTAGTGCCTTAGGGTAAGTTAGGGCTTCTAGCTTCATGGGCTCCTCGGCCGGATCCCGGCGGAAAGGCCAGGAGGAGGCCGTTGCCAGCTGCTCGGAGCCTTCGGCTGCGAAGGCCATCCTTGGATTCGGAGTTTCGGGTTTGGTCTTCCTCTTTTTTATCACCGCTTTTCCATCTGCCCGCAGGTGTCCGGAATACCATGTTGGTTGAGGCTTGGTTACGGGAGCCTGTTTGGTCTTCCTCTAGGTTTTTTTTAAAGCACCTTTTTCCACCAGCCAATAGGGTTTAGGGCTTTGGGTTGAAGGGTTGAAGAGTATGAGGGCTTGTGTGGCTTGGGATTGTTGTTGCCAGTCGTTGCGGATGCTTCAAGCTGAGAGGGCATTTGTTTTTCGGCCTTTTCATCGTAGCTGCAAGATTTTCGAGATTTTTGAGATGTCAGCCGTCGGGCGTGGGGGTTGCTGGTAAAATTTCCAGAACTATCGGAGCCGTGCCTTTTCTTGGAGTGGGCATGGGGTTTCGAAACTCTGAAGGGGCAGAAACCAGAGCATGTAGACTCCGAGAGAAAGGGAAAAGCAATCTAATTGTTGAAGGGGATGCCGATGACTGCGATGATGATAGCGATCATGCAGACGCCGATACTGTTGCCGTTGCTTCTGAATTCCCTTACTGGCAAAACCCGCTTTGATTAGGTGTCCTCGTCATCTTCAACAACATGACCGTATCTGGACACCCGAGGACAGCATGACTGCAGGGGTCGTCTTGGGTCCTTCTTGCCCCAGGCAAGCGGCAGGTCCTCCTGAAGCGTCCTCGTGAGCTCTGACATCGCCAGCTGGCCCGAGTCAGGCACTGCGGGCACTGCGGGCTTCTGCGAGGACTGCGAAGGCTTGCACGGCACATGCGGAATCCTCGGTAGCATCAAACGCGAAGATGAAAGACAGCTGAGCCCGAGACTACTTCTCAATCCATGTGCGATTGCTGGCTTCCGGTTTCATCCCAGCTACAACTCATGCGCTCCCAAGGGGCACGTGTCCGAACAAGTGTCGGCAATCATCGCCGTAGATCATAGCATGCCTTTGCTGAGACCAACGGGCTTCGGATAACGAGCAAATAGCCTCTTGCATAAACGGCAGCGCTCTCCACATGGAAACTGTGACGCTGCACAAGCGCTGCCTTTCGACTCCCGCCTGTCGCAGTTTCATAGCCGTGGGTGCAAGCTAGGTACGTCGTGTGAGCATGCCAGATCCAGTCGATCTCTGGCGAAGGTCCGGCCTGCTCACAGGACACGCTTCACATAGCTCGCAGCGTCGTGTAGGTCTGGCATCGGTCGACGCGAACGTTGCGATGTGTCGCGACCGAAGCTTCGGTAAGTAGACTGCACCTGCCAAGTTCAGCTCAAAGCCAAGGCGCTTTGCTTTCTGGCCCTGCTTCGCCCATGACGATCCTTTGCGGGCTTGCATGGGCAACGGGGTCACGCAGAATCTATGACCACGGGAAGGGGCGGCAAAAGGGTGTTGGGGGATGGATGGTCGCAAGGGGGCTGGGATGTAGTGAGCCCTTCAAAGCGTTCTGATCAAACGGCACTCATGAAACCACAAAGTCAAGCAACTGAAACCAGCTGGTCACAAGGTTAACAAGCCCATGTCTTGTCCTTGTGGCCAGATCCAACAGCTTCAACTTCATAAACTCCCAGACCCCATAAATCTCAGGCCAGCCGGGAAGTGGCAAGCAAGCGTCAGGAAGCGACGATAGTACAGACCGAGCAGTTCCATGATGCGAGATGCAGCATTGGCACCATCCTCGCACAGAGAGATGATTCATAAGCCGGCTCGGCACGCGCACCATAAACCTGTGCCTCATGATGTACTGCTTTAGCCTTGCATGAGCCGAACTTTCGAAACGGATACCACTACAGTAAGACTTCATATGTCATGATTACAATCATAAGTACATTAAGGCCGGCATGAGAACCTTCGTCTTGTTCACTGCACTCAAAACAAGCATGAGGTGAAACCTAGTCTACTAGTCTACTACATGTAGGCGAGGTAGTGGACACAAGTGCTGGGGTTGCATTGCCTTGCTATCGCAAGCGGACAAGGTATGCTTGTCACCGTCGTACGTGTGATACGAAGCTGTCGACTGTTTTCGATCTGGCCTGTCATGCCGTCATCCTACCGCAGATGAACAACAGCAAGCTGGTACAACAGACAAGCAGACACTTGGCCCTTGGCATATCTGCGGAGCGTAGCTACGAGTTCCCGTGCAGCCTGCTCCATGCCGAAGATCAATGCCCTGGGGTCGCCTTGGACTGCGAGGGGAGGAAATCTCACAGTTTCGTTTCAGGACGACCAGTGTGAAAAACGTGTCGGCATGATGCCTCTAAGAAGGAAGAAGCATACAGATGTGGTAATGCTATTCTTCACGGCTCCGTGTATTATAGCTTTGGAATATATTATAACATATTACCCCCAAACCCTAGCCAGATCACCAAGATTCATTGTATTACCTTTGCAGTTTTGGGCAGCCTCCAATTTGTGATATTGCAGGGAGTGAGAGGGAACCTCAGGGTTTAGTCAACCATAAACCGGGTCAATGTTATCATCACTACTATCATATAATTATTCTCATAACTATAAATATTACTATTGTTATTATTATTAGTAGTATTCTTATTATGGTAATTATTGTAATTATCGTTATTGTTATTGCTACTGCTGCTACTATCTTTATTGTTCGTAGCATTACTAATTATTACTAGTCGTAGTAGTCGTCGTCGTCGGTGCAGGGTGGGAACCTGCAATTGGGAGCGCTATCTCCTTGATCCTGTTGCAATTCCCTGGTCCGTCCTACTCCTGCGTAATGCTGTTGTCGTGTCGTGGTCGCGGAAGAAGGTGTCCACGCTCTGTGTGTGTGTGTGCGCGCGACATGTGTGTATAAGGTACTTACATACCTCTAAACATGCGGAGATTTCAATAGATATTTTGCACTACCTCCGTGGCTCGTGGCCCGTGCCCGCCCTCCACATTGCTATGTGCTTTTCTTGTCGCTCAGTGGCTCAGCGGTGCCAATCCAGCTGCCTCCAAGGCTGCCAGGCCTGAGCCAGCAGCCACGGCTTAGGGTGTGTGATTAACAGCACGGTAGAGTGGTCGAAAGGAGATTCTAGAAACACTGGGCATTGGCTCTGCAGAAGCATTCATGAATCAAATGCTTGCGTCTTCTTAGGGCCAAGCCTATAGAGTTTGTTCGATTACCTGCGCTAGGCCACCGTGTGGCCAAATCGCGACAGAATCTCGCACTCAAGGCATCCGTTGCATGAATGGGCCCAACCATCTCTTTGCCTGCAGACTTTGGTTGCTACGTAGTCATAGCGGCAATACGCTGAAATCATCTGAAATCTAAAGGGAGTTGAGGTAGAATTTCCGGTGATGACACAGTTGAAGGGTCCAAAGCTTCGGGCGAAAAGTTGAAGCCCTGAACATGCAGCTTACAGCTCCGTGCGAGCTTTATGCCGCTGTGCAGCCATCGACAAATGCGAGGGGAACACCAGCCAGCCTCATCTCTGCAGGTCCAACAGAACATGAAAGGTGACAGGTGAATAACAGCAAACCTAGCGCCCGCCATCTTCCTCATCACGATCACGATCACCGCATTCTTCATCATTCAGGGTCGTCTTACTAGCCCCATAATGCGGCATCTTGAATAGAGGAAGACCTGCATGCACGCCGTCGTATTTCTACAAGTCGTGAAAGCGCGACCGAGGAAGTAATTACTGGTCGGATGTTCAAATCATCTGAAGATCACATCGGCTTTATCTTGGACAGTTGCTGCCTTGAACTTTGGACGAACACGAGACTCGCCCATAGCACCCTTTCCACAACACCCGACTCAATGCTGGCGATCTTGCACCGTCCTGAACTTCCAGCAACTACCAGCAGGTCACCAGCGGCCGAAGCTCACGGAATGTGCAAGCATCAGAACTGTGGGTGCCCCAATCCGGTCGAGTCGCGCATCCGATGGCACGGCCACTTTACTTTTGGTACCTCGCTGAGCCTGAACATCCGACCTCAGTTCACAAAATGGCTCTTCGGTTCAGGTTCCTGAGAGGTTGTACCGAATTTTTACAATACCTATATAAGATTATCGATTGTGTATTCTTACATATTCTGAAATGGAACAGCTTGTATACTATTATAGATTGTTGTAAAGACGGGCAAAGCTCTCGCAGGCTCCCCCGGAACCCAAAACACTAAACCCCAGCCCCAAAACCCTAAACCCCAAAGCCCAGGTTCTAGACCCCAAACCCTACACCCCCCGGATAAACCCAACATTGGCTTCACATCGGCAGGTTGCTCGGTGAAGGGCGCGCGACCTGCCTGTGTAGGCCAAAGAGAGCATGCGAAACTTTCCTGAGTATCCATACTCGAGTTACATAAACTGCTTTTGTCCAACGAAACGAAAGTTTTCTGCTCGTGCATGCGTGTTGGGCTCTTGCAGAATTGAAAGTGTCAACTAGTAGGCGGTTTCCGATGATTCAACAATCGCGGCACAGAAGGCGTCTCTGCCGCAAGTTCGAATCATGTCGGCAGTTCCCTACGGCCCTACCGGAGCCATCGACATGCGAGGTCATCGGCTGTCTCCACCACCGGCTCTCCCTCAACCCTAAACCTCACTCTTCGGTGGCCTTCGTGTAGCCGGCCGAGCTTGGAGGCGCCAATGGCCCGACAGAGCGCTTTAGCACCGTCGTGCAGAAGTTCTGGTACCTGCAGAAACAGGGCCCTATGTAGCTCGATTCCAAGGTTCATGCGCACCCCACATGCACGAAGCATATTCTTGCAGCATCGTAGCTTAGACTGACCGACAGACTAGAAGGTTACCGCCCCAGCACCAAGAAACAACTGCAACACCACGAGACTCAGCCGAGCAGCGGCTCGGCGTAGAGCAGATGCGCGAGCCAGCAAAGCCAGGCTTTCAGTGGAGGGCTCGACGAAGGGCGAATATAGTAGCTCGGATCGTAGGTGTTGTGCGCGGACACCTCATCTGTGAATGTTGCTGTTTGTAAGGTGATTGGAGTGAGGATCAACAAGTCTTCTGCTTGCTGTTCTTCTAGTTGCAATGTTGCATCCTGGCAACTTTGTGTCGGCTTTTACCCGGCCAACTTCTGAGCTGATGACAGGCTGGTGGACAACTGGTTTGTGACAAGTCTCACTTTCAAAAAAGCAACTTGCCCAATAATGTTGGCAAAGCGCGCCCCAGATGAACCACCCTAGTCTGAAGTGCTGCAAGGCATATTTAAAACACTTCAGCATAACCCAACCCCGCCCAAAAAAAACCATTTGCCCCAAAGTCACGAAGAAATGCTCGAAGCCCCCTGGTTGTCAGGCCTGGCTCTTCATGTAGGCCAAGTATGTCGTCTTCGAAGCCTCGAAGGTCGCAGGATCCCACCACTTCCTCGGAGTGTGGAAAGCAGAAGCCTAGGGCCTCGTGCACCAGTTTGGGCCCGAGCTTACACCCTAACCTAACCGAGGTCCTGGGTTTATTAAGGGCTTAAGGTTCAAAGGGTGCTCTTTAAGGATTGTGGGGGTTGAGGCTCTCAGGGTTTGGGCTCCGATCTTCCGAACTTCCGGATCCGGTGGCTAAGGCTTCGGGTGAGCTTTCTGAAAGCCCCGCGGCAAGAACCCCCCCCCCCCCCTGGCTCCAAGGTCTCGGTAGGCAGGGCCCAACCCTAAACCCTAAACCCTTTCAGCTCCTTTCAGGATACAGGCGATCTCCGCTTCCGGGGAAAAGGCCCTAAAAGACCCTAAACCCTAAACCCCCCAAGGCCCCAATCTGAAGCCTCAGTGCGGAAGTCCATGGCCATCTCAAGCCCGAAATCCGAGCCCCCCAGACTCGAGGCCCAGCTTCGTGTATCGGGCAGCGCCGAGCCAGTGCTTTAGGAGCCTCGCAAGGCTAAACCATCAATTAATAATGCTAATAACAATATTAATACTACTAATAATTATAATAATAATCATAATCATAACAATAATAGTAAGAATAATGGTAATAGTAATAGTAGTAATAGTTCTGGAAGCTCAGGGGCTCGGCTTCCGCAAAGGTCTGTGTCTTCATCTGAAACAGAACCTTGACTTCCCCAACCTAATGATTACCTAAGGCTCTGAGACCTGGCCATGGGGCAGCACAGAGGCCTCAGGTACGGCTGCATGGAGCGGCTGGCAGCTCCGCAGTAGCTTGGTGACCTGAGGTAGTCCCAAAAAAAAGAGCCTTCAAATCAGAATTATCACCTCTTCCCTATTTTACTGCCTGAAACCTGGATCCTGACCAGCCGGCTGAGCCAACGCAGTGGTCCCTTGCCCCGCTGTTCCAAAAGTTACAAACCTAACCCTAGCAAGCTCCACATCAAACTGTCCAAAGCCGGGAAGCTCGGGGAAGCCTGGACCAAAAACATGCTCAAAGACTCCGAGCCCTATGGTTCAAGAGAGTCCCAAAGAGAAAACCGCACTTCCCCACGGCTGCAAGTAGCGACAGGCTCCACAACCTGCAGCCGAAGATACTGGATCTCTGGAAAATTGTCAAGCTTGAATCAGAATCATATAGCCCTTTACAGACTCCTACAGACCCCGATTCCTCAAGTCCAAGTCCTTGAAGCTCAAGGATGAGCGATAAGATGTAACATGTAGATGTTAAGTCCGAGTTATGTTGACACAACTCCTTTCAAAAAACCCTCATAATCTGCGCATCAAAGGTACCGCCTCGACAGTCGATGCTGATGCATCGGAAAAGCTCCGCACAAAGCTGCCGGAGAGATGGAGGCCTCAAAGGCCAAGGGTTGTCAGGTCAGGTCTTCCTTTCAGGCCGAGCCAGCAAGTCGATCTCAGATTGATGATATATGGATTCAGCGGCATTAGGATTATCAGTTAACGTCATCTATCCAGCAAACAGAATTCAGGGCTTGTAGGCTCTATAACCTCTCGGATCCGTCACAATAACCGGGAAACAGCTTTGTGGGGCCCAACCATCCACCTTCACCAAAAATCCAACAACGCCAGGTGTCTGATTTACAGCAGCTATAATCATCTACAGCGCTTAAATTAAAGGCTGCCATCTTTCTTCGTGGGGACGCGGCGCTGGGGGGCTTAAATAGGTCATGGCATGGGGCTCAGCTTCGCAGCCATTGCGTATGGACTTTGACTCCCAAGTCGAAAGAAGTCATGAAAATCCGGGATCTTCGGGATAAGCCCAGCGACCCGAATCGAAGTCCAAAGTCAGCAGTGGCGCGGGCTCAATGCCTGTCCAAGCCTGGCTTGGCCCAGCAAACGGTTTGTGGTTTGTCGAATTTTAAGTTAGTCAGTTTGAAGCCGGGGCGAGTCGGTGGGAGCCCTCGCTGAACTGTCGGGTGGGACTTGCCAAGGCCCCCAATATAGCCGAGCAGGGTCCCTCACGTCACCCGCCTGCATATCTGCATCAGTTCGCGGAAAGCCTTCCACCAGCACCAGTTGCCCGAGGTATCCTCCAGAAGGAAAGGGAGCGACCTTCTGGGTCCGTGTCGAAGGTCTCCAAGTTTAGAAACACAAGACATCTAAGGCTGTACCGCCCCAAATAACTCTGCAGGCTTCAACTCCGATTTGCGCACCCTGAACATCTAGTCTTGCTTGTGGTCATCAGTTTGTGATCAAGGTTCAGCTCATACCCTTAAAGCTTCTATCTATAGGCTGGGGAACCTTTGACTTTGCCTTCGATGGTCTCATCTCCTTCAATCTGCTTCGCCTCTGTAATACACGCCCAAAAACTACTGAAGAATAGAATCCCGGCTTTGATCAACGACGGGTCGAACCTCGCACACGCAGCTGCTGTCGAAGAGACTGGGCTGCCTCTCGAATCTGCAGACTTTCTCCCGACCCTTCATGTGCCTACCGCTGCTGGACCACACGCCCCGCGAGCTTGGCCGAGGTGCCCAGCGAAAAGTGCAAATTAAATTCGACCCCAATCCGTGGCAAAGCCAATGCTTATGGTTTGCATGGTTGAGGAATGGGGATCTTGCATCGCTGCAGCCTCTAACAGGCATGAAAGCGCACAAACATGAAAGCGGGATCCGCAAAGCGAGCCCATCTGACGAAACCCGATACCCAAAGTCCTAAGTCCTTTCACCAGAGACTACGAAGCTCGCCATCTCCGCTCTGCCTGCTCGGATGTCGCAGAAGGAAGGCAAACCTCCGGGATGCGAAGCCGCGGCTCCGCAAGGCTCCCAGAAAGGGCCTGGCGGTGCCGTGGTTACAATATCTATATATATATATATTGTATATATATATATATAGATAGCCTTACAAGGCTTTGGGACACCGTAACGGTAATGTAGTATACAAGGGGGTTAATTACTGTTTCTAGAGTTTTTTTTCGGCCCCGGCAATTTCGCTGGAGTATCTGCGCAGCTAGAGATCCTCTAAGGCATAGCAAAAGCTTGGTGGCGGCAGCCTCCAACAGTTCGGGCTTCCCGCAGGCGAAGACCAAAGTGGGCCTCCTTGGAAGGCAACGACAACTTCGACTTTAAACGCATACGTCTGCGTGTGTACATCTATAGATAGATAGATAGATAGATAGATGGATAGATAGATAGATAGATCTGTACATACATTGGACATAATATGAATTCAAGGTAAGACTATACTATACGCATGCATGCATGCTGTTTGAGGAGCAATGGAAACTTCAAGCCGCAAGTTCCTGTCCTGTGTGAGACCACCAAATCTCAGGAAGTTGTAGGAATCGCCCAGTCGCATCACAGATGCCCAGTGTGTCCCCCACTGAATCCATGCTAGTTGCATGTGCCGCGCTGCCGCGCTCTCCATCAGGGACGGGGAGCCGGTGGCATCGATGTAGCGTGTGCGGCCGGTGTCATGGAAGTTGTTGACGACCTTTTCACTACCGTCCACCATTCATGCCAGGTGCGACACTACTTTCAGCAGGCATGTTTACACCAGAATGCCACAATCACAGAAGCGTCGTCACACACCGACTCACACGCCCCACCTACCCCTCCGCCCCCTCCCCTCCGTCACATGCGTGATAAGCTCTGTCGTGCAGGCGGACTCCCGCAGACCCTCACACATCCATGCAGAAACACACATACACACACGCACACGAGTGCACACGCTCTGCAATCATCGACACCCATTCAGCACCTCGGTTTCTAAAATTCCAGGTGTGTGTGTATATATATATATATAGATTCTGCACGTCAGCTGTGAGGACCATGGTGCCTTGGCTGTCTCCTTGCGGAAATATTCCAGTCTGTCGTCGAACTTCTCCTGGAGCCCAGCAAGTTGAAGCTTCTGATATCAGACTGTTTCCCGGATTCAGGGCTGGTAGATGACTTTTTTCTGACATGTTATGACGATGCCGATTTAGAGAACAGGACCTGTCGCTAATGGTCAATCTTTTTCTCACGGAAAGACCTCCTAAATTGTGCAGCGTGCTCGAACAAATCCTCGAGGTCGTGTGGCACCCGGCTACGCTGTTCTGCGCGTGCCCGGAGCACGTCATCCGGTGCTTCCAGGACGAGGCAGAGTGAAGGCCTCAAGTCAACGGTGGCTTCTGCCAGCGCACTGCTCCTTGTAGCTGCTGCTTAGGTGGCTGTGGGAAAGCAATGGGCTGCCTCGCAGTCGCGACTTGTTGGCTGTGTGAAAGTCTTCCGGAGCATGAAGCAGTGAGGCTACTCAAATCCTGTGTTGTACATATCTTCGATGCTGTTTCGCAACTTCATAACAACATTCCCGTGAGCTTCCTTTGCATAGTAAGCCTGAAAGCTCACCAGGGTACTTGGGAACTGCATCCAGGCCATTCCAGAAGTGGTAGCCATCATCTTTACCTGATTGCAGTGTGATGGTGCTGTGTCCGTCACAGCACGAAAAGCACATCGCGCATGAAACAATTTCACACAAAACAACTATGCCTCTTCGATGACATCGCCTCGACGGATCACTGCAGTAGCGACACAGACATAGGCTGAAACAATCGACGGCAAGCCATCCCAACAAAGGCATGAAGTGCCGTGAACAACAAACTCCAGCTAACAGGCGAGTCTGTTTTGCAAGCTGGGTCCTATAGAAAAGTTACCGAGGTGCGTGGGAAGCCGTTGACAAACACGAGGTGCGGTCCGTCGCCAGCTTCCAGCTTCTGCTGGCCTACCTCTCCGCGAAAGCTTTGGGATGAAAACGCATGCGTTATGTGTTTGTATGTGTTTGTCTTTCTGTACATATGATTGTATGCATGTATGTATGCATGTACTGTATGTATCTATGCTCTGCATGTATGCGTCTGAGTCTATGCAGGTAGGTGTGTTTGTGAGAGGGTGAGGGGGCGGGGGTTCTACATGGAGTTCATCAGAGGTCGTCGATATTTTTGGCAGGACCAGAAGCGAAGGATTTGTTGTGTTCTTCTAACTTCCACCACACCAGAAAAAAAACATAGTAAAGGATTGCAACCGTGTCGGATTCCAGTCCGCAGGATGCGCGTGGATAACCTGGAATGCGTCGAGAAGAAATTCTGGACCTGGCCTCCATCTCGGCCAGAATTGCATTCATCATCATAGCCTGCAAGTGCACAACCCGAGCTTCGAAGGGGGGGTGGAAGCTGCTGAACGCTACCACGACCATCAGCTGGCTTAGGAGATCCCGAAAGGACTGAGAAGAGGAAGTCGGATTCTAAGTCGGGAGCCGCCTTGAGAAGTCGGTCTCTCAAGCTCAAGCCAGTGCAGCTCTTGAGACAGAAGAAACCATGGGACCCCAGCCCCGCAGTGCCTGAGGAGATTTGATCTCATCTGGGTCACTGCGCATGGTGCGCCCAAGATCGATATGTACAGCGTGGAACCTCACACGCCGTGAATTCTAATGTCTGACGGAAGCCAGATAATAGGGCAATGCATTATAGGGGCCCTTCAGTCATTGTGGGAGTTTGTTTCAAGTTGACTTCGGGGTCTTGCTGTGAGGCTAGACCCTTTCCATGTCGACGAAATCTTGGGCTTCTTCATCTATCCAAGTCTTGCATGGTCCACTTTGAGGTCGGATGCTCGAGGCGAGGGTGTCCACCCTTCTGCGCGGCTGTCAGGTATCATCTTGCACGGACGTGCGCACACGAGACCGAACATCGTTGTTTGCCACCCTCCTTTCGAGGCCAAACCTTTTTCGGCGAGCCTTAACCAAACGCCAGCAAAATACGGCTGAATACCGAACTCTCAGCCCCCATCATGCCACACTGAACCTGTTCGCCAGCGCATCTCCGAGGGTAGACCTCAGATTGCAGTGGGAAGGAACCTAGCCTGTTACATTTGGGGGGGAATTCTGGTTGAGGACAATGGTATAAGCACATGAAATGTATCGCTGAAAAAAACGGTAATTACAACGCGAGAAGGCACTACAGCTATGCGTAAGCTTGAGCTCCGTGTCTACGGAGATCTGAGACACTAGCGATGAACTCCGGAGTCGTGCTTTTCCGTGAGCTCTTTTACGTCCGCAAAACCTTGTACAACTGACTAAGATAAGTTCGCATGACAACCCCAGGTCGGGCTGCCACGGTGGCTGCCGGGAGACTTCCCGCTGCCAGGAGGTCCCATCAGCAAGACGACCTTGCAAGCCTGGCTGACAAACCAGGAGTGGTTTAGGAAAAACTCAGCCCCATACCTTATCCCCGAACCGTCCACGCTTTTCCCAGATGCCTCCGTGGCAGGTGGTGCGGCAGGCGGTGCCGGTCCTGACATGAGGAGACTCGAGACTAGAGATGCCCCTGCCGCAGCCTAGAAGGTGACGCTCGTGCACATCAAGCCCATGCTGCCTTGAATACTTCAGAGTCTCTCGTTCCAGTGAGGCTTTCTTCTAACCTCAGCCCCCATACAGCAACAGGTCGCTATTTTGCAGATTCAGTGAAAAAATATCCCCAAGATCAACACCCCCATTAGCACAAGAGCTCGCTCCTGGCGGCGGCGGTGGCGGGTCGCCTGTGGACCACGTGGCATGTCGCTGGGCTCCTCGTTGCATGCCTCAAAAGGCCAGAGTTGGCAGGGGCCAGGGGCCAGTGGGGTGAAGGTTTGTGCCGTGCATTGTCAGGCGTGACTGTTATGTATCACGTGCTGGTTGGAACAGTTGGTCAGGTCTTGCGGTGGAATTCCACACTACAAATCTACCGTGCTATCACGATCACAGTACGTCATCTGATTCGTCTCATAGCGGTATGCGTCCGAGCAGCTCCGCAGCTCGGCGACAGCAGCTAACAAGTTCTTCGCCTGGGTCGGGATCCCTTAAACTCTGAAAACCGTTTACATGTGTGTATATATATATATGTATTATATATATATATATATCTGTGTGTCTGTGTTTATGTATATGTATATATGCATATGTATATATATATATATTTATATTTATATTTATATTTATATATATATATACCGAAATCTACAGACAATGTGGGTGACCGTAGGCAACAGTGTCCAGTCGAGGAGCGGCGGCAATATTGTTCGATTCTTGCAGAGCCTGGAGCCTCTTTAAATGCCTGCCTTCTGCGTCAGCGTTGCTGGCTCGCAGGAGACTGAAGCCTTTGAGCTGCGATAGACAGAGAAGTTATTGCTCCGAAGCTCTTCTTCAACACCATCATCATCATCATGTCATGTCATCATCCCAACTTTGCCAACTTCCGAGTGGCTTGGCCCAGCGGGACGTCGATCTGCCTCCTCGGCTCATACTCGCGGTTCAGGATGTGTGCACATTGGACACAGAGCGCGGAGCAGGGAGATGCAACGCGAGCGATATTCAGGATGCAGGGTCGTGGCATCGTATCTGCACTCCGGAACAAGAGGCACTCTACTTTCTCTTGAACAGGATGTGGACTCGCAGGTGAAGAGAGGCACACCGCGTATATTTATGCATGCGTGCATGCAGAGATCACGTATGTAAAGGTGTACACGGCATGCTGGTGTGTAGCGACCTATACAGCCACATACGTACACACATGCACACGAGCACACCTACAGACGCAAATACCTGCATATTGACTCCGTGGACTGTGGGCCACATATTCACATACAAGGCTCAGATCTATGCCTGTGCATGCATCCAAAACCGTGCGAATAAGCACACAGAAAGGAAACCCATTTATACAAGATTATGCAAGTGCATGATGAGTGTGAAAGAGACACAACGAGAGGGCGGAAAGAAAGACAAACATAGCCGGGCAGCAAGTCAGACACCGAAAGGCGCTGAATAGCTTGGCCATGGATGAGTTCGCGTTGGAACCTCTCGACCAAGCCTTAGCAAGGTAGCTCACTTTCACAAATTCTGCTTCCAGGAACTGGTGACCAGGTCTTTGTGTTTGAAGGTCAGTGCCTGTTGGCCAGGTCTACAAGCGAATGTACCCATGGCCCACAACACTTATTTATTGATCGTTGTTCCCACGATCCGGAAAATTCGCAGCGCAGGGGCTGCTGTAATCGGAATCCGAGGGACCACCGTAGCCAGCATTTTCAAGCCAGCGGCCCACGGTCGCCACATCCCAGTTGTCTAGCTCCATGGCGGCTATATCAATACAAAGCTCAATGACTGCATGGAGCAGTAACATGCAACACGAAACAGCTTCTGTATGTCTATATACATATATACTGTTTAGGCAAATATAACAATATGTCTACATTTTAAACAAGCAACGTCCTTGCCTTGACAGTACGACCACATGTACCACATCATTGAAATCCTAGCAAAAGCGACTGACTCGTTAGAACAGCAACAATGAGAACGATGCCATGGCGATGGTGAAGATGAGTAGGCATGGCGATATGGAGCCTCCGTTATGCGACAAGGTGTTCACGTAACTGCACACAGTATGACTCAGTTCATACTTACAGACGATGCTAAAGGGCCGGCGGCTTGGAGCAGATTCGCATTGTGATCCGGTTGAGCAGCTGCACTCTCACTATTCGCTAGTAAAGACTGGTGGAGACACGCCGGGGTGGCGTTTCTTTGGTGTCAAGAATTAGGGTGGAAGACTGTCAAACGAAGCTGACGGGCGGACAGCGGAACTCCCCCGGACATTCGCAGCAGTCGACGCCTCTGAAGTGTGCAAAGCTTGGAGACTCGGGTTGTCAGGCACAGGCGGTGTTGACTGTATTACAAGTATAAGTGGTGGAAGCACCAGCCAACTACATTACTACCAACTTGCTTGCCCAACCTCACACTGTAGCACCTCCGATGATCAGTCTAATGGTACCAGGCTCTTAGAGCCCGGCCGACCATGAAGAGATCGTACTGGGACATGTTTGCCGGGACCCGCAGGCCATCCTATCCATGGCCACGTCTACAGAAAGACAGACGCACACAAACATGCATCGCAGACATATATACATATCTACAGACATACCTACTTATATACCTACACAACGCATACATACGCACGCACGCACCTCGGACGGACTGGACGGACACACAGAACTGACAGAACTGACAGACAGACAGACAGGCAGGCAGGCAGGCAGGCAGGCAGGCAGGCAGTCCGGCCGGCCGGCGGCCGACAGACCGACAGACAGGCAGACACGCAAACCGCCCCACCGACACATACATACAGACGTACAAACATACATGCATGACATGCATGCATGCATACATGTCTACAAACATACACATGTACATACATCCACACATACGTGCATGTGGCAAAGGCTGTTTCTGCGTGTCACATAAGGCTTTCGTATGACTCATATGTCTGGGATACAGACACAAGCATCTGCTAGCATACACTGCATGTTTGTGCATACTCTAAGTGCTGCAAAGATCTGTAGATACCGTTTTTTCAATATGCAGGTGCGTCTGTGGCACGTTCATGCCATATACATGTAGCATCATTTAGCCTACCCATATACGTGCAATGATACTTCCATGCACACCATGCGACACGGCTCAACTCAATGCAAAAATGTGCAACATAACGCATACATAAATTCAAAGCACAGGCCTCTAAGTGTAACAACAACTATTCTTCTGCATTCTAGGTATTAACTTAACCTAGATCAACGATGTATATGCATGGACGTATGTGCGAGGCGTAGGTGTGTTCACAATGTGAGCAGCGCAACGGAAGTACGTAGCAGCCAAACACTGAACAGCATGAGTGGCAACCAGAGCCGCCACGCACATAAGAGTCTGCACAGGCGAGAAGAAACGAGTACGTACATGTCTGCACGGTTTGCAATCATAAACTGGAACCGAAGCACTGACAGACAATGTCCTTCTCGCCAATGGCGACAACGGGTGCAATGCAGAATGTGGCTCCGTCTTTGAGACATCCAGTCTGACATCAGCACGTGCACATGGCAGATCATGACAGGCTTCGTGAGGTCAACGACGAAACCCATCCCAGCAAGGGCCTACAACGCAGCGCTTCATGTTGTCAGAAATCTCATGCCCAACAGCTAAAACTCAAGCCAAACACACATCCGGTGCAGAGCCAGAGGCAGCCTCTCTATGTTAAATCTGAAGCTTTCCGAACCAGGCCAAAAGCAGAGGCTTTTGTCAAAATGTGGCAGTTGTACCATCTGTCGATTCACGCCGACTGCTGTGGCCTCTGGCGGATGGACCGTCACAAAATGGCTGCAACTGGAGCCTTTGGTTGTGACTCGCTGGCCACAAGTCCGTCAACCAACTGCCAAAAGACAGGACGCGCGCTACGTTTTCTGAGGCCACAGCAAAGCTGATCTGGCCTGCATCCTGTAGGCGAAGCCCTGTCGCCTCACATCGACCAGAAAGGAAGACAGAGCCGGCCGAGGTTTCGCGATCAGTCCGCTCTTCAAAGACACGACTGTACAGGCAAATTGCCTGTAAGTCATCGGCAAAGGGCAAAGGTTTCGAATGAGCTGGTGCAACCCATGTTGGGAAGTACTACATGCCCTACGTTATTCACAGCACGTTGAGGGCCCTGCATTGGCTGGGCTGATGCTTTCGTAGACCTGTCAGGAGAGGCCGTGGCAGGCCTGTTGTCTCTTTTCGTGCTGTAACTAGAGGTCGCCGATGTTGAGCTAGTGCAACGGGAGAAGCCCTGCTGGACCCGGAAAGTCAGGCTCTGGACTTTATGGCATGAACGTGATGCTCGCCAGCCTCATGCTTCTGTATTGCAATGGCAACGTATCACCAAAGCACATCGCCAGCTTCCCGGTGCCGTGCATCGGCCCTGCCTGCATCTTGCTAAGCAGCTGGCTCGGATGGTAGCTGTGCTGCCTCATGGATGGATCGGGTGAGAGTTTCCCCCAAAAAAAGGCATGCATTTTTGCTGTATTTATGGTACATCCAGTTGAATCCTGGATGATCAAATCTCCACGACACGCCATCAGCGTCAAAAACTCTGCAATTCTGTGGTCGGGGTAGAACCAACACGACTGCAGTAGCAGAGGACGCGGCCAGAGCGAGCCCCCTAGCGCCGTTCCCAAAGAAGCCGCCTGGGCTTGGTCAGGTTGCCGGATGTGGCGGGCATACCAGCTACCCTTCGGCACGAAGGGCCTGAATAGTTGGCAACTATCGTATCTCATTATAACCCCAATTCTCAATATCATTTATCTATTTGCTCGACTCATGTATCTTCAGGTCCCTACAGCCGGTCCCTGTGGTGCCCATCGCCAGCTTAAACTTCCTCAAACCCTGCACGCACCGGCACGGGTCCGTCAGGCCCCTAATGTCATAAAGGGCTTAAGCGTGAGGGGTTTGAGAGGTTTAGTTTAGGGTCTGGGGGTTTCAGTGGTTAGGGTCTAGTGGGTCTAGTATCACCCAAGGTTTTGCTGAAAAATTACACTGGCCAATCTCATGATGCTGCCGTCCACTTGTTCCGTTCATGACGCGAACTACTATGGAAACCATTTGCCAGCTGACTGGGTGCTTTCCATTTGTCACTTGCCTTGCCTCTAACAGAATCTGGGGAGAGTGCTCCAACACAAAGTAGGAACTTCCAGAAAGGCCACCACGTCCAGAACCTGACAGCGAGGGGTCATTTATCCCATGCTATAATATAGTATAGTATGGCATCGTATAGCATATTGGAATATATTGGATTAGAGTATAATAGAGTATGCGCGACACCGGCGGCAACATCCAGCACGGCAATGAAGTTGATAGGCACTGGACCCGATTCCGCCATTTTCTTGGGGTGATTCAGGCGGAGGAGAAGCCCACTTCCTTGTTTTTTCCGATCTGACCGTTGGATACTAGAAGCGCACAGAACCTGATCAGCTCCAGCTTTCATCTACGACATCACTCCGTGCCACTGTCAAAAAATCGCATGCAATGCATCTTGTGGAGCATCTAAAGCCTAAACCCTTCTTCGACTGCCCTAGGCTGGTTGCCATCTCTCGTTTCCAGAAGTCCAAATCCGCTGGGAGCATCTGTTTCAAGATGTCACATAGGTCCGTTCGGACAGTTCGCCAGCAGCTAGCAGTAAAAATACTGGGACATACTGTCGGCTGTTGGGATGTGTCCTAAAAATTCTGCCAAACCCTTTGGCCCTCACACTGGGCACCCGACACAACAGACTGCCAGCGCACGCCGCGCCAAATGGCCGCTGCCACAATTCCTGCATGTTCAGCCCTTTCCGAGCCATGCCCTCAAAACTGTTGGCGCTTGTGAGAGACATCGATGTTCCGATCAAGCTCGGGCGGCGGAAGCCCTGACTGAAGAGCAGAAGCCCTGTGGAAGCCAGGCT